GGGTGTGTGAAGCTGAGAAGGAAATGAGGCTTGTGAGAATAAAGAGGAGAGACTCTTATTTTGAGTTTTTTTAATCATAATTTTTTTATTACGACAACATAAAACTAGAATAGGATTAGGGGGCTAAGGCAGAGTGCGTGCAAGGATTTGGTGAGAGAAAATATTAGATATAATATTTTTTTTGTTTTTTATCAAATTATAAATAATAAGTAAAAGGACAAAAAGATGTGAATAGCTCTCTCACATAATTTCTTGTTCATCATGCATCTCGATAGTGCATCGTCGCCTCGCACTCAAGCAATTTTTTTCTTTTTTGCTAATGTGGAGACCCAAACAATATTGTTCATTTCTAAGTAATTTTAGCATTCCAAATGCGACGACAATGTTCGTTTCACAAACAAGCAAATTCGCACAACATCGTGCCCGTAGACTGTCATTTTCGATCAATTATATTTGAATCAAACAGCGTGGGTCATTCCTTGACAACTACAACGTTCTAAATACAATGACACAATCTGTTTCACGACAGGATGATGTTCGATGATTTTGACTGATGTAGAGGCATTTCGAGCTTTCTAGATGTGACATCATGCCAATTGGCAGCTGTTGAGGCATTTTGATTTTGCTACACATGCGACATCGTGCCAGTACAATTAGCTTTGTCGTCACACATAGGGGTGTCAAAAATGGGTTGCGGGTTGAGTTCGGATAAAACCCGACATTGACCCGCCATTGTTCGACATGACCCAAACCCGACCTGCCAAAAACCTGGGGTTAACCCATACCTGTTAACGGCGAATGGCGCACCATGGCGCAAAGGTCCCTTTGGAGCTATGGCGCATAGTGCACGGCGCGACGCGCGCTATTTTGAACATGGCGCAAGCTATAAAAAAATTATAAAATAATAAGCATGAATATGAAATATTATTAAAAATGAAAGACAAACTATCATAATAATAAAAGACAACCATAACATATATAAGTTCGACTAAGTAATATCCAAATATCTCATAATTCAAATATTATAATCTTTTTTTAAAAGATCAAATAAGAATTTAATCTACTCTTCTTAGGAATCATCATCATTAGCAAATATTAAAAAAGCTTCATTATCTTCTTCAACATTGTTTCCTACTTCATAATCCTCTTCATCACCCTCCTCATCATCATTCTCAATAGCAACAACATGCCTAATTGAAGATTATTTCTCTTTCTCTTTAGATCTTTCCCGAATATTATAGCTTTTATCATAAATACCAGTAGCTTTAGCAACACTTGTCCAAATTAAATCTTCCTTTCAAGCAATAAAGTCATTTTCTTCATCAGACTCATCATCTAATTTTCCTGTTAGCCAATCATTTGCATCATCTACCTCAGTCAAAGAAATAGGATCAATGACATCATAATGATTGAATCTCCGAATCAGTGCTCTATTATATTTCACATAAACTAAATCCTTTAAGAGACCATGATCCAATTTGCTTCTTCGTTTGCTATGAAGCTGCAATTAAAATATTATGACATTTATTTGTAATAGGAATTTTGAAGTTGTATCGAGAGTGTACCTAGTTGTACCGAGCTGTACCGAGCGGTACCGAGCGGTATCATACATGTACTTAGCGATACCGAGTGTGTACCTAGCGGTACCGAGCATGTATCGAGCGGAACCGAGCAAGTACATAGCAGTACCGAGCGGTATCCAGCATATGCATAGCGGTACCGAGCATTTACTTAGCGGTACCGAGCATGTACCTAGCAGTACCGAGCATACAGGTTAAGTTGTAAATTCTTGTAAGAAATAGCCGTGCAAAACAACATAGCTGTGCGAAACATACGGAGGTTGCAAATCGGAGTCAGCTGGTAAGATTTTTTATTGAACAGACGAAGGAGGGGCAGATTTGGCGGAAGCACTGCTCTGCGGGACGAATCGGCGGAAACAACGACTTCAACTTCGAGACAGATTCGGCTGGATTCGGCGAAAGAAGCGAATGCAGCAAACAGAAAACAGAAAACCTTCGACTTCGTGATAGATTCAGCAACCTCGACTTAGGAACTGCGGGATGTGTTCGGCGGATGCAACAAAAAGAAAATCTTTCGTGAAATTAGGGCAATGAATAGTCGTTTATCTTAAAATATAGATATATTTTTAAATATAAAAAATATTCATAAGTATACCGAAATTTAAAAACAATTTGGCGCGCTATTTTGAGCCGTGCGCAATGCACCATGGCTCACATATGGCGCAAATAGCGCGCGCTATTTTAAACACATGCGCCTTGCCATGAACATGGCGCCGTAGGTGCGCCGCGCCGCGCCGTGCGCCATGGCGCACTCTATTTTGCGCCATTGACAGCTATGGGTTAACTCGACACGAATGACCTGGGGTCAAGCAGGAATCGCACATTTGCACATTCACATTATGTAGTCGGGAAGGCGCCGGCACGGCTCCACTTGGCACCATCGGCTTCTCTCTTCATAACGAAGAGTCGCTTCCTCTTCGAGTCCCTACCTCCTGGTCCGACCGGCTCTAGGCTTGCACTCACTATTCCACAGACACCAACACCGGCCTCTTGTCCTGCGCTACAGGCAACTGCAGCTCCAGCAAGACCGGCTGCTTAGACCACGGTGCCTCCCCACCAGCCACCCTTGTTGAGTTCACACTAGACGGCACCGGCGGCATGGACTTCTTCAATGTCATCCTCATTGATGGATACAACCTTCCCATGCTGATTTCCCCTGCAGACGCAGGCGGCACCTGTGGAATTACATGGCATTATGGCAACCGGATGCGGGATCTTCTGGTGATTCTCTCTGAGTCCGACGGAGAGAACATGGCATGCCAAAGTGCCTGTGAGGCGTTAGACAAGCAAAATTTTTGTTGCAGTGGGGACTATGGAAACCCCAACACATGCAAGCTGTCGTCTTATTCAATGAATTCCAAGAATGTGGGGACGGTGAGGCTTGTGCCGCTGTGAGCCTGTGCAGGACTGGTGGGCGAGTCACAAGTTATGAAGTAGAAAGAAGGATCAACTTTGGGTTAGCAGGTTGACTTGGACCCGAACCGATTTTTCAAATGGGTCTAATCTTGAATCTCGAACCCAACCCGTTTTCCAAACAGGTTGATCCTAACTCGGAATTTTCAGGTCCGGTCATATCGTGTGAAATATTGGCACCCCTAGTCACACACACTTGGGACAATTTTGGAGTATGTATGAAGGTCCAATGTTTTAAATTGCGCAATTAGGTATTGAGACGTTTTTCCTTCGTGAGGTGAGGCGTGTGTCTCAAAGCTTTTTGAGGTGTAAGCCTCAAAATGAGATAAAGTCAAACTGATAAATTTTTTGTATAATAATCTAATAAATTGTCATATATATAAAACATAAAAAATAGGTGAAGTCGAAGATGACGTTCAAAGAAGGTCGACTATAGTTGAAGTCGAAGAGGCCGAATGCAGTCGAAGTCGAAGCGCACGAACCCAAGGAAGTCAAAGACCATGTTTGAAGATGGCCGACTCCACATGAATGCAGGGAAGTCGAAGACAATGTTCGAAGAAGGCCGACTCCACCTGCGAACATTTGAAGAAGGCAACAAAGCTTTTAGAACATCGAATAAGGCAATCAAATTTTTGTCGAACATCAAAAGCTCTACCTGTTGTGCTTTAGGTGAAGTCGAAGAGGACAAATGCAGCCGAAGTCGAAGTTCACGAATGCAGGAAGTCGAAGAGCACGAATGAAAGCACTAATATTAGGTTTAGGTTTTAAATATAAGCATCTTTTAGAGACGAATACCTCGCTGAAGTGAGGCGAATGAGCGAGGCGCGCCTCTTGTTACCCAATTTTAAACCATGTGAAGGTCAACAAAAAATATTAGGTTGTTTTCTTGATTCCCTACACATACAATTCTTTATATCCTGATTGGATGACCACTCCTAATTTTAAACATGCACTTTTACAATTTTTCTCCTCTTTGATTTTTATTAACAAATTTATCATTTCAAGGTTACTTGAGATTCTCCTTGATTACCAATCATGATAACATTGATAATTAATATTTTATTTAACAAAGTACTTTTTGGTATTTTTTTGAATAAAAGATCAGAAGTGTCAAACAAAATAAGAATGCTAAGTGTTATGATTTTTTTAATAAAAGATCAAAAGTGTAAAACAAACGAAGAATGCTTGGTATAACCTTTAAACAATAACGATCGTTATTTTTCTGACTAAATGAACATTATTGAACAAAAATTTCAACTATAATTGGCAATATAATTACAGTGGAACTCTCACGGTACAGCTTTCCTGCGCATACCACCTTGAGGACTCTCTTTCCATGCCTCTCCATCCTTCCCATATGAAATAATTTTCAATATTTCAAACCATGTTCACGCTTGCTATAAATCAATGAGGTCCCCAACATAAGGGACTCAGCAAGTATGTCACAGACATCATGTTCAATTTAATTCTCATTTGCCAATGACCGTGTAATAATGTTATATTTACATCAAGAACAGAATTTTGATGATCTAATCATGCAAAGCAAGAAATACAGATCAATGACGAAGTACAATCAAAAGCAACGTAGATCAGCAATAAAAAAACAGTCACTCTACAAAAAACAATACTTCATCCAACAAAGCATGAATCTAAAATCGAAAACATCATAATACAACTAGGTCAGAATGCTGTGAGGGCATCTCCAACCGAACGGCAAACACTTGTTTGCCGTTCTTGCTTTGCTCCAACCGATCTCCATTTTTGACGCCATTTGATCGCGGATGAACAGTGCGACGCCAATATTGGCGTTGCACTGTTCATCTGCGGCATTTTCTTCTCTCTACCGAACAGCTTGGGAAGAAAGGCGCCAACGAAAACGACCATTTTAGCGGCAAAATGGCGTTGGATTGGAGATGAAACACGGCATTTTTTTGATTTCCCTGCATTTTGGAGTGAAAAATGACATTTTCGGTTGGAGATGCCCTGAGAAAAGAATAACAAACTCACATGCAATGCCCTGAGCAGCAAAGGCCTTTCCTTGAGAATCTCCTTAAACAACTTCTTTGCCTTTCCAATTTGGCCCATCAATTCATATGATAAAGCATGCAACAATCTCCACTCGACCTCATCCGGCTCCAAGGCTATCAACCTCTCTAGATACTTAACGGCCTCCACCCTCTTTCCCTTCTTCATTTTCGCATACAGACACAACTTTAGGTTATCGACATCGGCAGGGTTCTTCTTCAAAAGTTTCGCATATAACTCGTCGTCATCATCCCGTTCCTCTTTCTTCTGTTTTTCAATTTTCTCTTCCAAACTTTCCGAAAAGTTGCTCTGGATAGGATCAGCGAGGGCCAAAGAAAGTCTCCCGCTGCACCTGCCGAATAAGAGATATGATCCCAGGAGAAACACAGTCGCTCCATCCCTAAATGCTTTCAAGAAGGTTAGCTGTTTTCGATGTACAGCATGATTTCTCGCGTTCAGAAAACTTGAAACAGAAATCAGTGGTAGAGTAGTTATCGGTAATGAGACAGGACGGAGAACGTGGAATCGAATTGGGGTTTTGGTTTTGTTGCATAAGAGCCCAGGTTTATGAACGACGGGGATGGAGAGGGCGGCCATGAATTCGGCGCTAAAACCCTAACCATACGAAAATGTGGTTTTGGAGAGGGCAAATTATTAGCAGAGAAATTTTCTGAGAGATGAATTTTAGTATGGCTTAGTAATTTTTTGGGAAAACCATGGCTTAGTATTTTGATCTGCAAATGCAAATCTAATCAAAGTGCTAAAAAAACAAAACTAATATAATTAGGAATTAGATTGACTATTCCTCTCTCTCTCTCTCTCTCTCTCTCTCTCTCTTATTAGCAGAGAAATTTTCTGAGAGATGAATTTTAGTATGGCTTAGTAATTTTTTGGGAAAACCATGGCTTAGTATTTTGATCTGCAAATGCAAATCTAATCAAAGTGCTAAAAAAACAAAACTAATATAATTAGGAATTAGATTGACTATTCCTCTCTCTCTCTCTCTCTCTCTCTCTCTCTCT